TACTCACCGGATGTACTTCTACAACCTATTAACGTTTGGAACCGCCTCCTTTTAAGTTAGCTGCCGATTGACGGCGCTTACAGAGAGATCCCAACACAAACTCTGCGAGTCACGGTTGTGGAGGTAGGACCTAGGAATGCAAACAAAACTCAAAGAGCTCGAAGGAAATCTTAAATACTTTTTAGTAAAGAAAAACAAAAGGCTGGTGGGGCAGCAACAACTTATAGAAACTGAAGGAAAAAACACAAGGAGACAGAAGAAACACGGAGAACAGGACACACACAATGCCAGACTGAAGGTGGCATGAAACCCAAGTGAATACATGAACAGAGGCTGATGAATAAAGTGGAGACACCTGGGAAAAAACAACAACTGAGGTGCAGAAACAACTGACGGGAAGAAGTGGCACAGAGGAAACTGGGAAAAAAACTGAAACACAGAAAATAACAAGAAGGGACGAATAAGTGGAAATAAACACTACCAGAAAAAAAAATCTACAACTCAGACGCTGACTCCGTGACTGACATATTTTAATATTACAGTAGTCCCTCGCTACTTCGCGGTTCGACTTTCGTGTTTTTTTTTCAGATATTGTCAGCTTTAATATTACTTATGTGATTGGGACTTATGGGATAAAAAGTTAACAAAACAAACAAAAAAAATACTTCGGACAGGCGCTGCCATTTTGTAGTTTTCTTTCAATAAGCCTACACTGTAAGGCCAGTCAAAAGAACTACACTACCCAGAAACCAACAGTGCTTTCAGCGGCTGCTTTCATCTGAAATGGAGTGATAGTTTTGCAACACAAATCTATCATTATCTATTAAACTCACAGAAGTGGCAGGAAAGTTGCAAATAGTCCTGAAACTCAATTATCCACATGCACATCAACCTGGATGAAGCGGTGGGCTTCGTTGCTGCAGGGTCTGCAGAACTGGAACTGAGCCCGACTGGAACTGAGCTGCTGGTCTGTAGAGCTGGTGAGTAAAATTTTGCTGTACTGTATAGTACATATACGTATGTTGGTAAAATTATGTAAATTTAAGAGTTTTGAACTTTGCAAGAGTGTGGAGTTTATAAAGCCTTAAAATACAGTAGTCCCTCAGTCCTTGGTGGTTCGTCTTTTGCGGACTTGCTCTATCGCGGTTTTTCAAAACAAGACTGGACATGACACACAATTGGCTGATTGATGGATGAGCCGCAGGATCGGCATGGATTGTTTATTTAAAATGAATTATTTTAAACGATTTAGCACCTGCTGCAGAAAAAGCTTCCCTGCAGCGCGTCAGATCTCAGCTCTCTGTAGTGGAGAAGTGGGCGTGGCCGAGAGCGCTGGCAGAGAGCAGTGGAGGCAGAGAGCTGAGATCACAACAATCTGAGCTCTTTTAGAGCGTTTAGAAACATTGTTTAGAATATTGCAAGAGTGTGGGAAGGGTTTAAAATGCCTCTATATACAGTATATATATATATATATATATATATATATACTAAAGTAACTACTTACTACTTGTACTACTATTCCTATTTCGTGGTTTTTCACTTATCGCGGGGCTACAGGGTACAAATCCCCCGCGATAAACGAAGGACTACTGTATAGATAAATAAATATAGTGTACCTACGTCACAGTTTTTCACATATCGTGGGGTTACGTTCCACACACACCCACGATAATCGAGGGACTACCGTACAAGAGATCGTGCCCAATGTTACTGTCAAGGTTTGACCAACTCCATCATTTTATAAACACAAGATAATCAAAGTTTAAAACTTTGGTGAGAAGGCAGTGGGTTCCTTCGAGGAGTGTTTTCAGCTTCAGCCTCTCTTTCATGCGTTTAAGCAACTCGTGTCGTGCCAACACCTCAAAATGCAGCAGAACGTGATGAACGTCATCTTTTGGTTTCACCAGAGTCACAACAAAAATTTATTTCTGTTTTTATTTTGAAATGTTATTATTCAGTAGAAACCCCTGTCAGTTTTTTTTTTTGTAGACGCTTTGTGAAGCAGACATTTTGTATTACTAACTTTAATCAGATGTGTCCGGCTCCACAACACAAAGAAAGAGAAACCGTGTCAGCTTATTACCATTAACAGTTTAATGCTGCATGGCCGACCACGCCCTGAGCTGCTGATGTTACCATCTTCCACAGATGAACCCCACCCCCACTCCTTCACTTCATCGCCGCAGTGTTACACAACTCGCTGCTGCCTTCGTCCCACCCTTCATCACAGACCTGCTCAGTGTCATCGTGATGGACCAAGTTATAATAAGTTGGAAATAAGGGTTTAAAAATAAAAGGTATTTTATTCAATAGAATTTGAATTTAAAGGAGATATCATAATGTAGAAATCTAAAAATGTGCTTTAGTTTTGATTTTCTGCTGAAAGGCTCTGAAATAAAAGCAGGTGCTGAGCTGACCTGAGGTCTGCCCTGTCAGCAGAACACAACATGTCTGACAGCATGTTCAGAGTGTTTATGGAGCTGGGGGGGGGGGGGGGGTGTTATTGTGAACTCAAGCATCAGCAGAAAGCAAAATGAGCCCCAGTACCCGAGAGGAAGTGTTTTGTCCTTCTCGCATCTCTTTTCGTCTTCAAGTCAAATACTTCAACACTTTCAGACTTAACAAATATGTAAATGTAAGCTACACATTTTACCAAGAATAAAATACTTTATTTTTAAGAACATAAAGTTAAAAAAAATCTATTTTATGTGACCATATGGGAGGAATGAGCTGCAGTCTTAAAAGCAGGAGTTAGAAAAACTCCCCAAACTTTGGCTCTAAAGAATATCTGCCTCTGGGTGTTTTGCTGAATCTGTAGGTAAAACCAGTACAATTTCCAGTAACCTTGAACAACTGCAACAATAAATGCACGATTCATTGACTATACAGCAATGTTGCTCACAATTTTTATTTGCAACTTTTACAAACTTGTCTTGTTGACAGAATATCGTGTCTTCAGTTGCTCAAACACAGTTATGACATCATTGCTCAACTGAATTCATTGTTTTATATGTGGGGAGCTCAGATCACTGCACTTTAGCACGGTAATAAAGCACAGACACTGTTTTAGCCATTACAAATTCATAGTTTTGCACAATAAGTCACTAAAGTGTTGTATTTCTTCGAAAAAGTATTTGATTTAAAATGTTATTTAAAGAACAAATGTCATTGTTGGGGTTCTGAGGGGATGTGTGAGAGCAAGGTGCCACCATCTGGTATAAAAAGGTACACACCTACATGTAATTATTAAAAAATTAAAATAAAACATACACAAAAACATTATTATTATCATGACTGGAAATGGATCTAATTTATTTGAATTACTATAAACATAAGTCAGAACTGCAGATTACGTATATATTCTCATGTAAACATATACTTGATTCTATGCTTTTTGAAAAAAAAGTTTAATGCGATTTCTGGTCAATAATTTATATTAGTCAATTTAAGTATCTTTGAAGTTGCGAACAGCCGCTTGGACAAAATAAAATATAGTTATCTCTAATCATAACACATATTTTTTAGGGGAAAAAAAACTCTATTTGCAAATCCATCAGGGTCTCATCTGGGCTGAATGTGCATCCTGCTTAAATTTTTATACATTCTGGAACAAATGCAAACTGTAGATTTAAGAGATTTCTCATATTCATTCTGGCCCTGTCTTTTTCACATAAGAAAATGCACGTGCTGTGGTTTAATTATAAACATATTATCAATTAAACGGATTAGCTAATTCAAGATCTACCACTCAAATGGTTTTAAACGTCCAGTGAAACACTGATGACACTGCATTTATGTGTTTGGAATGATATTCAGTTAGAAAACACGATTTTCTTTGAATAACTTTAGCTCCAGCAACACTTGAAGAGTTGCTGTTTTACAAAATGTTTGACTGAGGTCAACAAAGTCCATGCTCAATAATCCAGGTATGCAATCCAACATTTTTCAATCAGGTCATCTGGACAGTTTCTTTTTTTGAGCTGAAACGTTTGACTGAAGTGCATTTTAGTGTCCCGTCTGAACATTTATTGATGGGTTTGCTCTTTCATCGGGACCAGGACTTTCCTGGGAGCAGATACCTCTTGTTAGGAAAGTACACTGATGTTAAAGAAAAACAAATAAATAAATAAAACTAGAAAATTTGTATTTGTTGCAAGAGTGTGAACGCTGAGTTCTGAATGAATGTGCTGAAGGAGCAGAAACTGAGTCGTCAAAGCAAAAAGAAATGGATCACTTACTAAATCAGTTAATCCAATCAGCTAACTGGAGCAAAACATTAGCTAAAATATAAAATAAGCAAAACAACAGCTAAAACCCAATACTAGTGAAATGCTGGTTAAGCACTAACTAAAACCTAAAGGTGGCGAAAGGCTAGCTGAAAGCAGCAATATACTGTAAAAGCAGCAGAATTTGAGCTAAAAGCTGAGGCTGTAGCAATAGCTGAAGATTAGATACAGACAAAAATAGGTAAAAGCTAAAATTGCAAAAGCGTTTTTAAAATGTAGAATGGCTAAAATAGCTTAAAATATGCCAAAGCTGTTAAATTGCATTTTTTTGTTTTAAAAAATTAAAAATTAAAATAAAATAAGTACTGATAATAAAATAAAACAATACTGTGAGAGTTGAATCATTCACGCTACAAAATAAAGATGGTCACATCTTAAGGGAGACACATTCAGTCGTTAATAAAACTGAATACAGTACTTTGAAATGTATAAAAGTTCCATCCATCCATCTTTTACCCGCTTCTTCCTTTTTTTCCACATGTGGATTACATTTTTTTAAATCAAGTCACCTGTAGAGCTGGATTCTTCTGGATATTGAAGCAGTGACGGATAGATAGATAGATCTGTAGATAGATAGAAAGGAAGAACTAAGAAGGCGTGACCTGATTTGTCAATTCAATGACGCCTAGCAGTAAGAACCAATCAGATGGCTCGATCTTGCGCCGTCGAGGTTTTCCGCTTTTCAATTCTGCACATGCGCACTTCATTTAGAAAATGGCGGCCGTGCAGGTAGGTCTGATCGACGCGAAAGAAGAAATAGACGTTAAAACAGAACCGTCGAGCGATGGCTTTGGAAACAACAACGCCAGCGACAGCAGGCTGCTTTCTACGCCCCCCGGCTCCAGCACCGCGGCCGGGAACAACAAACCTGCGGCGGGAACCCCCGAGGAACAGCAGACGCTGCTGGCAGTCCTGCAGTTCCTCAAAAAGAACAAACTGTCTGAGTCCGCCGAAATCTTGCGCCGTGAAGCAGGGTTACCCGAGGATGCTCTGGATCCGAAGGGTGCGGATGGCACCGGCTCGGGACTCGGAGCCGCGGCGGGAGGTGTGGATGTGCTCAGCCGGGTGACCGTCTCTTCCTCCGCCGGAGCTCTGGCGCCGACCAAGGGTACAGTTTATTCTACCTCTGTGGATGAAACTAAAAAAAGTTGTTCCTTTTACTTTGTTCTTACTTATCGGTTCTATTAAAGTTAGTGATATTTAACCACCGGCTGAACATACATTTTTTAATATATATACTTTAATTGTAATTTCACAAGTTTAATTTTAATTCACTACACTACAAAAGTTAGTCACCTTTTCCATTAGTTGTTAGCTTCCAGGCTCCTTCTGCTCATGATGCAGCTGCTCCTGTTGTGTCAACATTTGTAGCTTGTGCAGCAGTTTAAGATCACATCTTTTAAGTGTTTTAAAACGTGTAAAAATCAATGCTGAGGAGCTCTCTGGGTGTTTCTGTGCAGCAGCTGGGGAGGATCAGCCAGATGTCAGTGTGGTGCTGTCAGCCTACAGCCAGCAGGGAGATCCAGCTCTCTACGACGTTTACTACAGCAGCCTGAAGAAGTTCATCGAATCGGTTTTGGACTGCCACCGAGCAGAGCTGTCCCAGGTCTTCTACCCGCTGTTTGTCCACATGTACCTGGAACTCGTGTACAACAATCATGAAAGTGAGGCCAAGGCCTTCTTTGAAAAGTGAGTCTCTTCACGCCTCCAAATGTATACCACAGCTTGCACATCTTATAACTTCACTTAACCTGTGTTTTTTTATTTATTTTCAGGTTCAGTGGAGACCAGGAGTGCTACTATGAGGAGGACCTGCGTGTTTTATCCAGCCTGACCAAGAAGGAGCACATGAGAGGCAACGAGACCCTGCTGGACTTCCGCACCAGCAAGTTTGTCCTGCGCATCTCTCGTGACTCCTACCAGCTGCTGAAGAGGCACCTGCAGGAGCGGCAGAACAATCAGATCTGGAATATCATCCAGGAGCACCTCTACATCGACATCTTTGATGGGATGCCGCGCAGCAAGAGCCAGATCGACGCAATGTCCGGCAGCCTGGCAGGAGAGGCCAGGCGAGAAGCCAATAAGGCGAAGGTGGGAAGAGTTGACCTCGGTTCCAGAAAATCTTAGGCTCGGTCGATCACGTTCTGATTTGACTTTTTTATTCACTTTGCTCTAGGTTTACTATGGCCTGCTGAAGGAGCCAGAAATCGAGCTGCCTCTTGATGACGAGGATGAGGAGGCAGACAATGAGGAGGGTAAACCCAAGAAGAAAAAACCCAAAAAGGACAACGTAGGCTCCAAAAGTAAAAAGCAGGATCCAAATGCTCCGTTGCAGAACAGGTGGGCATTCTTCCAATCATAAGATACTCTGGGTTTTTGAACGTTGAAAATCAAATTATCCACTTGTTCACGCTCTATATCATGAGTCAGCCGTTTTATAATCATGTTCAAAACTTTAGTTTTTCATCCATTGTCTAGTGTACAGAAGTACACCACGTTGGTGGAACTAGACCATGATGCATTGCAACCTGAGCCGACACAGCAGGCTAACAGACTAATGCTAATGTCCTGCAGCCCTTCATTGTGGTTTTCATCAGACGTTGTGATTTAAAGTGGCTCATCTTGTCCTCTGTCTGAGCTGCAGGGCTGAGAAATGATGAGAAAATGTGGCCTGATCCTTTATAGTAATAACGAGGATGTTTCTGGAGAAACTTTGACAGGGACTGCCATGTTGCGGCCATTTAAAATGTTTGATTTGACAGTACTTTGTGTTGGGGTTCACTCTCAGCTATTACTACACCAAATTTCAGCTCAGTATCTTAAAATAGCTCAGTTATCGTATTTTTTCCCTTTTAGCGAAGGTGGCCATCTTGGATTTTTTTTTAATTTACATTAGGAATGTGTAACAACTCACTCTCAGCTACAACCATACAAAATTTCAGCCTAATATCTCAAAAATGACTTGAGTTATAGTCAGTTTTGTGTTTGCTGAGGTAGCTGTGGCAGCCATCTTGAATCAAAATGGCTCCAAAAGTGAATCAGGGTTTTCTTCAGAGACCTCTCATGTGACCTCACTGTGTCAGTTAGAGGCTGTTAATTCTGTCAGGCTTTATGAATGGGGAAAAATGGCGTATTTGCTTGCAAATTACATCGTCACGGTAACTCGTAATGCCAATAAACATAACGGCACACATCACGGAGCTGAGCCGGTTGTTTTGATATAACATTTGTGGGGGTACACGTTGAGATTTGTGCTGCATTCAAGTTATCTTTTTCTGGTGGGTAATAAAAAGTGTCTGCCTTCAGGCAGACCCCAACGAGTGAGTGAACATCTTAAACATTGTAGTTTTGTGTCCAACTGTAAGATTACTAAGTAAGGAAGATCTGATTATCCTGTTTTTAACATGAAGATTCACACTTCACGTCGTCGCCTCCTGAGACTTCCTACATTTGCTTGGCAGTGGATGATAATAAACAGTTTATTTGTGTTTAGGATTCCTCTTCCAGAGCTCAAAGACTCCGACAAGTTGGACAAGATCATGTACATGAAGGAGGCCACCAAGAAGATTCGTTTAGGACCAGATAACCTCCCTTCCATCTGCTTCTACACTTTTCTCAATGCGTATCAGGTGAGTGTTGGCTTGTTTGTAGTGATGGGAGCTGGACTGGATGTTAATGGGATTGGACCTCTGCAGGGTCTGACTGCAGTGGACTTCGCAGACGATTCCAGCCTGATCGCAGGAGGTTTTGCTGACTCCACAGTTAGGGTGTGGAGCGTCACGCCAAAGAAGCTCCGCAAGGTCAAAACGGCTGCAGGTACACCACAGAACAGAAATGACAAGACGTTTGGTCCGATTAAAAAAAAAAAAAACATCATAAAGATTGTTCTGCTCATGTGTTTGTCTTCTTTTTCTCTCTCTCAAGACTTGAATCTGATTGACAAGGAGTCAGACGATGTTTTGGAGAGGATTATGGATGAGAAAACAGCCAGTGAGTCCAAGATTCTTTATGGGCACAGTGGGCCGGTGTATGGCATCAGCTTCAGCCCAGACAGGTACCGCTGAACTCAAACTCAAATACCCACAATTCAGTATTCTCATACTAACCAAATAAAACAGTCACTATGGATGAAACAAAATCTTGTATTTGAGTTTAGAAAGTCAATTTGCATAAACGTTACAGGCTTGTTGTTACAGTACGTCGAAGTTGTAGATGCTTTTTGTGACACGAACACAAGTTGCCTTTTTTTAAAGCTTTTGTGACAATTCAGTGCTAAACAGGACGGCTGAGAAGAAAAATAAGGACCTTATTTTTGGATGTAAGTGTGGGAGGATTAGAGCCACGGTGCGATCTTTTTTCCCCCCCTTAATTCTGAGAAAAAAGTCAGAATTGCATGAGTTTTTATTTTCATTAAGCTTTTGAAAATAAAAATTCAAATATAAACACATTTTCAAATCGGCTTCTGTGAACACCACAGCTGGACATTTATGTTTTAGGAATATCAGCAAGGTTAATGTATAAATATATTGATTCTTTGTCATAGAGAACATTCTGTTCTGGATTTAATTCATATTAACAGGAAATAAAGTGAACAGTTTTTGTCTTTCAGAAATTACCTCTTGTCGTGTTCTGAGGATGCTACTATCAGGCTGTGGAGCCTCCAGACTTTTACTTGTCTCGTGGGCTACAAAGGACACAATTACCCGGTGTGGGACACGCAGTTTTCGCCTCACGGATACTATTTTGTCTCAGGGGGACACGACCGTGTCGCCCGGTAAGAATCTCCTGAACCCGTGGAACTTTTCCCGTCTTCTCCAAGGTGTTACAACAGCTGCAGCTTTTTTTTATTTACAGTCGTCCTGTTGTTTCTTTCCTTCCAACAGCCTTTGGGTGACAGATCATTACCAGCCTCTGCGGATATTTGCGGGTCACCTGGCTGACGTCACATGTACTCGTTTCCATCCAAATTCAAACTACGTCGCCACGGGGTCATCCGACCGCACCATCCGCCTCTGGGACATCCTTACTGGAAACTGTGTCCGCATCTTCACTGGTCATAAGGTCAGAGGGGAGCATTGTGGCCTCATTCTCTGGGCAGCACACCTCATCCCCAAAATGCCCCCCAGGCGCTTTCAATAGCTGCCCACTGCACCACCTGGTGGTGGATGGGTTAAATGCAGAGACTAATTTCGCCATTGTATGGAAACATACAGTGCTGACATTGTGATGACATTATTATTATTATTCATGACAAAATAACAGCTACAAGTGCTGCTTCTTTAAATAAGAGAAGTACAGTAAGTCAAACCAAATATAACTCTGGTTACTCTATTTGGTTTTGTTTTACTTAATTCTCCTGATTAAAGAAGCAGTACTTGTAGCTGTAAAGAAGTGTACTAGTTGTGTATTTCTGTTTAGATCAGGGGTCTGCAACCTGCAGCTCTGGGGGCCACACACAGCTCTTTGGTCCTTGGTCTATGGCTCCTTGAAGCTTTGCTCAAACATAATGCAAAAATGTATATTTGTTGGTTTTTTATACCGACAGTAAAGAGAAATAACGAGTTTTAGCAGTTTTTCTGCAATTTTTTAAAATAAATTACTAAAACAAGGTGAAAATAATGTTGATTAGCTTTAGCTACTTCATTTATCCAACTTCTGGTCCAACGTGGTGTCGTTCTGTCAAATCCACCAGAAATTCTTTGGAATCCCTTTAGGACTAGGAGAAATGAGGTGAACAATTAATTCGTAGACCTAATTAAATACAAAACTTTAATGTCACAATTACATAGCCAACAGAATTGCCTAATATTTAGACACTTTAAATTTATGCTTTATTACTTTAAAGTGGAATACAATTTTTTTTATTTTTCTAAAATTAAGATTCGCATAAATCTGCAGAGTTCAGGGTTAAAGTTTTTGGTAAAATTGGTATGAAATATATTTTTCCCCTCGTTTACATGAATGCACTCTTTTCTTTAGCTCTAAAATAAAAAAACATTAATAAATGTTAAAATTGATTATATAAGTTTTGTTTTATAAAGTCACCCCCACTGGCTGGATACAAAAAAAACCCTTCATATGGATGTGAAGCGGCCCATGAGCCACCAGTTGATAATCACCGTTTTTGCGGCTCCGATCACATTTTGTTTTTAAGCGGAGGGTAGAAATGTCTCTTTTGATGTTAAAAGCTTGCAGACGCGTTTAATTAACTAATTCTACAAAAACCCCACTGATGTCTTTATTCGAAACTTTCAGGGTCCGATTCACGCCATCAACTTCTCGCCCAACGGGAAGTTCTTGGCATCCGGAGCCACTGATGGAAGAGTTCTTCTGTGGGACATCGGTCACGGACTGATGGTTGGCGAACTGAAGGGTCACACAGATACCGTCTATTCCCTACGATTTAGCAGAGACGGAGAGATTCTCGCCTCCGGTGTGTGATTAATGTCTTTTCTTACGCTGCAGTCTAAATTAAAAGCAAAGCCTGACCACGTTTGATGGTTTTCCAGGTTCTATGGACAACACGGTTCGCCTGTGGGACGTCACGAAAGCGATTGACGATTTAGAGACTGATGACTTCACAGCCACCACTGGACATGTCCATCTACAAGATAACTCCCAGGAGCTTTTGCTCGGCACCTACATGTCTAAATCGACGCCGGTCGTGCACCTTCACTTCACACGGAGGAACTTGCTTCTGGCTGCAGGCGCCTACAATCCATAAAATATTGATGAACTATGAAACGAGGAAATGGTTGGAGCTTGAAATAGCCAGCGACATTATCAGTTCATCATTTGGCAAACATTTGACTGAATGAGGAGAAAACAAAAGGTTAACCAATAGTCCCTTTTTTTTTTTTTTTTTACTAACCAGGTCTCCAGATCAAGCTTACCTGTAGTGTTTGGATTGTTTTTATAAATCACTTTATACATTGATAACACCTCTGTAATATAGTCTTTTTTACTGATGCACAATGTAAATAAATTCAAAAGTTTTTTTGTGTTCGGAGCATCCATTTTCTTTATTGTCAACATTAAATCAAACACTTTAAATCAAGCTGCTCTCGCCTCTTCCGGGTGATGGAAACATCGATCAAATGGAAACCTGTCAGCAGACAAAAGAAACGTTACGTTAACCAAATAGTTTGTGGTATTCAACTAATAGCATGGAAAGAGTTAAATGTACTTACACAGTGTAGTTTGTGGCTACTTTTCTGTGACAGCAGGTTGTTTCTTGGGCCTGAATTTGTAGATGAGAATGATGGCTGCAATGCTGGCATATGTGGCCAAAACACACTACAAAAAAATAAGTCATTAAAATCTCACACAACGTGAGGGTTTATGCCATTTCTTAGCTATGGAATAAAACTCACATTTCTCCTTCCCGTTATGGTGTATGAATTGAAGTATTTGGCAATTCCAGTGAAATTGCGCTGAGATCCATTGTCGTGTCCTGCCATGACGGCTAAATTAACGGTCCTGCCACAAAGAAGATGGTGAATGGGTAATTCTTGTAGTGCATATACAAAATGTTTTTATGGAACTGAAAAGGTGAGACAGTTATGTTAAAATCTCATTTATTTGATTCGCCACAACTGACCTCTTGGTTCGCTTATGAATAAAGGTGCAAAAAAATTCACTGAAGAGGCAATGTGCTCATTTTAAATGGCCGTTCTTCAACAGATCTCGATCACCACAAACTTTAGCAAATGAGTTCAGTTGTTTGAAATATTTTAAAACTTGAAATGTGAAAAACTGCAGACAACGTCTGGCCCATTTTGAACAGATGTTCTGTACGGTCATTGTTGTGTACATTACATTTATCACAAATATTAGTCTGCAGATCCTGTAAATGTTGAAAGAAAACGGTCAAAGCAGAATTTTTATTTTTTTTTTAGTTTTGAGCTTTTTGTTTCCATAACACAACTCTGCATTAATGGGGGGGAAGATTCATGTTTGTAACAAAGTTAATAAGTATGATGAAGGAAGTAAGCCTGAAGATAAGGTGTTTGCAAATCAAGACATCTTACAAAACCAATACAATTCAGTTTTAATAATGGCAAGATTATATTACAGCTATAAAATATTCTCTGTAAAACCAATGTCAGAGCCTGTTTACTTGTGTTAACAAGTATTTCAACCGGCCTCGTCTTCAGTTATCTTGAACTTTAGGTCCTCATATATTTTAGCATAATTAAAGTGTCAAACCCACAAAAATGTTTAAGGCAAATATTCAAACGATTTTTGAATACAAAGCTGCAATAATATGTGAAACAATTCTACATTTAGTAACTACAAAATAACCCGTAAAATTAAATAAAAAGTACCGGTACTGTATGTTAAAGATGAAATAACGAGAACGCTAGCGCAAGACTTAACGTTAGCTTGTCGGGCTAGCTACACTGATTTTACATGACATTAACAACGCAAGATGTCATATTTGATTTTATACAAAAAATAATATAGTTTTTCTTACACTTTCGGCACTAAATGACAAATAACTACTTTATTTCTGAACGTGTCATGACTTACCTTTGACGTACGACCCCGGCGCAAACAGAACGAGACAGTTGTCCTTCAGAGGAGGCCGCGATGCTAAAGTTGACCGGAAATCCCACCCACCATGCGGAAATAAAGCTGAATTTCTATTGGCTAAAATTACGTCAATCAAACCTTTGACTGGGGGGTTATCACTGAATGGTCTACATGAACGTCAATCAACTGTTCACGTCAGTGATTGGACATTACAAGACACTTCAAGTTTCTTCTTCCGGGTTGTAGAGATGGCGTGTTGCTGAACAACATGTGAGTTTTTGTATGCGTAAAATTTGCGATTAAATGTGAGGAATTATAATTATTACCGATTATTCTAGATAGTATATTTTATAATTAAGGTGTGTTTTGTTTGATTGCTTGTCCAGTGAGTTGCTTAATTTCATTGTTTAGCTTAGCAAGTTTAATGAGTGAACGTTTCTTTTTTTGTAGTAGTGTTGTCTTAATTTGCGTCCATTTCTCCAGTCTTTTCATGGACTTTTTTTTCAAAGTTTTTGTTTTCTTTTACCTGTTTTTTGCTATTTTAGATATGCTGATGACAGATTTTTCATAAAATGCTCACCGAAAAACAAACAAACAAATGTTTCCAGTTGTAAGATTTTTAAAATAAACTATGAAATGACACCAAGCTCATGTAAGAAATAAGAAGGTTAACGTTTTAAAATCCTAATTATTGGAATACATAACTAATTGAGTAATGTAAAAAGTCGTCACAAAATTGGCATATTTTCTGCATGTTTTTAGAAATGGCCATGTGAATTTTTAACATGTTCTTTTATGAATGTTCACATATACTGATGTGGTTAGAATAATATTATTCAGTGAAATTTAATAAAATAACTAGTAATAAACCTTTATTCATCCTAAGAATTGAGTTTGATACCTCAGAAAATTCTATATTACTATTTCCACTTTTTGCTGTTGAAAAAATAGATGTGCTGACAAATCAAACAATTTGTTTTCTACAATAATGATTGTTGATTAATTGAACTAACATTTTTGGATTGCTGCAAACGTTATTTGCATTTTTAGGAAAATTCAATCAGCTTTTGTTGAAGGAAAATTTCAAATTTATGCCACAATAATCACTTGTAAAGAAAGAAAGGAAACAACTTGATGATAGATTAAAAACTTTTCCTATTTTGATTGTAGTAGAGTCCTGGTTTTCCAATATTTTTAAAAACTTGTGGGGGGCGGGTATATAAAGGATTGCACAAAAGAAGATTAGGCTCATTACAGAAATTTATTTTTTCAAAATAGAGAACGCTTTTTCTCTAAATTCCAAGATTAAAGTCAAATTGTTGAAAAAAAAATCTAACTTGTAATTCTAAATTCTGCGAAAAAAGTCATTTTGTTTTTTTAATCTGAAAATTTCAAGAAAAAAGTCAGAATTTTGCAAAAAAATAACTCAAAATTCCCTAAAAGAAAACAAACCAACCCAGAAAATATTCATTAATGGCCCCGTCAGTTAGGAAAATCACAAATTCACTGGTTGGAACCATCATTGCAGCTGATTCAGCACTTTGTTAGAAAGTCTGGCTTTTTGGAAGCAAATAAAGAAACCAGATAAGAGTGAGGCAATAATTATAAGTACAGTGGAAATTCATCTTGTGTTTAAATTTAGCTTGTCTAGCCATTAAAGTTCTAATTTTGTGCCATTTGCCTTTCAGAGGGTGTGAACAGGATCTTTATCGTGTGTATCTTTAATATTAAAGACATCTCAAACGGCATCAAATATGGCGTCAGAGGAGGAGGATTTTCCTCGAGGAGGGACATCCAGGAAGCACTCTGAGAGTAAAATTGTGTTGGAACATGTGGACAACCTGTTTCAGGTAGAAGCTCAGATATGGCTGCACACAGACAGGATTGTGTCACGTGTCCGTTTCTTTAATCGTTTTTTTTTTTTTTTTTTTTGTCCTTTTCCAGTCTAATGAACTAACAGAAACTAAGAAAAGAAAAGGTGGCAAAGTTGATGGCAAACAAGTCAAGAAGCAAAGGTCTGAAGAGAGCAACGAAGGCCTGACTCTCAACACAGCAGCCAAATCTGTAGAAATTTTACATTTGAAGGTAAAAACCCTATAGGCTAGTACACAAACTGTTTATTTAATCTGCTTTATATAAATATTGGGTTACTTTAAATATATTTCTACCACTTTCCCCCCAGAATGTGAAAGAGGGGATGCTGTTTCTGGGCTGTGTGAAGGAGGTGACAGACTTTGAAGTGACCGTCAGTTTACCTTGTGGCCTGCAAGGTTACCTGAGCATCAAGAACATCTGTGACTCGTACACCAAGCTGCTCAGTGAGCAGCTGGATTCAGGGGATGACACAGAGGTCAGCCTGCTCCGTGGGGACTAGAAAAGTGTGGCTCGTTGTGAATTCTTTTATTGGTTTTTGAAATGGTCTTTTTCTCCACAGGAGATCTGCTCTCTTGTGCACCTTTTCCAGCCGGGCATGCTGCTCAGATGTGTTGTTGCCAAGTTGCATGTAACTAAAGGAGGGTTGCTCAGCATCCAGCTGTCCGTCAATCCAAAGCTGCTCAACAAGAATCTCACCTCGAGTTCTGTGAAAGCTGGAATGGTGAGCTATAAAAAATGCATCTTCGCTTCAATTGCTCAGTTCAGATTGTCAGCAACGTGTACGCTGATTTGATCTTACTTGTGATTCAGGTGTTGAGTGGATGTGTGGAGAGTGTAGAAGATCATGGCTGCATTATTGACATCGGCATCAGTGGAACCAAAGCCTTCTTGCCTGAAGAAGCCATGAAATGCAAACAAAATAAAACTGAAGGTAGAAAATGTTTAGACACCACCAGTTTAATGTCTATGTTGTCTTTCAGAGTTAGGCTTTGTTTTATATGGAAGATGGATAAATATTCCCTCGTTTATCGTGGGGGGTTACGTTCACCACCGCAATAAATGAAAATCAACAAAGTAGGGACGTTCTATTTATTTGAGTATTTATATATATTTTAAGGCTTTATAAACCATTCCCACACTCTTGCAATGTTCTAAACTCTCAAACCTACAAATTTTAGCAACATGCGTATTTGTACTGTACGGTACTGCAAAATGTTACTCACCAGCTCTGCGGAAGCAGCGGCTCGATTCCGGTCCGGCAGACCTACCCTGCCAGTTCTGGTCCGGTTCTGGTCAGCTCTCTGCAGCCCTTGAGCACCAAAATGCTTTTGGAGGGTGCCGGACATTCGGATGGCCAGTGTGGTACAGATTGAGCCCAAATCTGGATGAAAAAAGTCCTGGTGGGCTCCAGAGAAAATGCCGGACCTCCGGGCGGCACCTCCCCGCTCGGAAGTCCTCGGCTGGCAAGCAGCTCTCAGATGGACCAATGAGTCTGGAGCTCCGGTTCTGGTCCGGTTCCCAGTGGGTACCATGCGGTTCTCTTCATCTGCTGGGTGCCAAAGTCACTGTAAAGTACCAAACTTTTTCGGATCAGATCAAAACTTTCCCTCCATTTCAGCAGAAGGCAACGAGGCTTCTGTGCGGTGCCCTGTTGGCTTCTGGGAAATGTAGTCATTTTGAGTGGCAATAGTTTTTTAGCTTTTAAAATTTTTAGTCCTTTATTAGTCCATATCTCTTTAGATATTTTATATATTGTAGCACTTTGAGATTGTAAAATCTAAAGTGCAGTACAAATTGAATAAATTATTATTATTATTATTACAGTGTAGGCTTATTGAGAGAAAACCACAAAATGGCAGCGCCTGTCCGAAGTATTTTATTTTTTGTTAACGTTTTGCTGTATCCAATCATGTGAGTAATACTAAAGAGGACAATCATGTGTCATGTACAATTTTTTTTCTTTTCTCGTGTTCAATCTTACTTTGAAAAACCGCAAAAGAGCGAGTCCGTGTACGTCCAACCGCCAAGTAGTGAGGAACTCCGGTGCTACCACACCAAACTGTAGCTCATTACCTGAACAGCTGACCGAGTTATAGTCTGCGTTGTTTGTGTTGTGTTCATCTAATGAATAATTTCTGAGAGTTTAATTAAAATCTGTCAAATGGTTTGTGAAATATTTCGCTAACAGACGCAGAAAGCATGATCTGCCTCTCCTGGTGGTGGGTAATAAGCACGTGTGTGTTCTGTGTGTGCTCAGAACTTAAAGTGGGTCAGTATTTGATGGTTCAAGTAGAAGAAGTAAAGAACAGTGGACGTGTGGTCCGCCTCGTTGCGAACCCCTCCGCTGTGACCAAAGTCTGTGCCAACACGGAGCAGGGCTGGAACCTCACCAACCTTCTGCCTGGCCTGCTGGTCAGAGCTACCATCAAAAAGGTGAAGACGGCTTTTATTCGATCGGTGATTCGGTTTGTCGTTCACACGAGGCGCCGTTCATTGACCACTTCTGTTAATATGGTCTTGTTTTGGGGTTGCAGGTGACCAAACACGGTCTGTTCCTGGACTTCCTGTCCTCCTTCAGCGGCCAGGTGGACTTTCTTCACATGGAGCCGACGTCCAGCTACACAGAGGGGCGTCAGGTAACGCTGACCCTGCACGTCCCACGCTCTCTGATGCGTTCATCTGTGGCCTTTTCCTCAAATTTCCAACATTCAGTCAAATTTTTTTCTGCCATGTTAAATTTAATTTTCTTTCATTTACCCTCAACATAACCCTATAAGGAAAAACGCAGTCATGTTTTTAGCGTAAGCACTGAATGTGGGGAGGAAAAGAATCATGTTCATTTGTCGATCCAGGTGCAAGCGTGTGTGCTGTACATGGAGCCCTCCACCCGACTCGTTGGACTGAGCCTCCGCCGTTACCTCGTCCAGGCTGGGACTGGAATTGACACCAGTCCGTCTGCCGGGGACCGGATCGGTGAGGTGGTGAAAGAGTGCAAGATGACTGCTATGCACCACATGTCAGGAGCCATGTTGCAACTGCCAGACGAAATACCAGCTTTTGTACATGTAAGTAATGTTGGTTCTTTTAAGGGAAATACATTCTTATAAAACTTGAACCATGTTGCATCGCAAAAAAGTTATATCATGATTGTTATCTGGATCCTTCCTTTTCCTTCCTTCCTTTTTCCTTTCTTTTTCCCTTTTCCTTCCTTCCTTTTTCTTCCTTGCTTCCTTCCTTTTCCTTCCTTCCTTTTTCCCTTTTCTTCCTTCCCCTTTTCTTTCCTTCCTTCCTTCCTTATTTCCCCTTCCTTTTCCTTCCTTCCTTCCTTTTTCCCTCTTTTTCCTTTTTCCCTTTTCCTTCCTTCCTTTCTTTTTCTTCCTTGCTTCCTTTTCCTTCCTTCCTTTTTCCTTCTTTCTTTTCCTTTTTCCCTTTTCCTTCCTTCCTTTCTTTTTCTTCCTTCCTTCCTTTTTCCTTCTTTCTTTTTCCTTTTTCCCTTTTCCTTCCTTCCTTTTCCTTCCTTCCTTTTTCCTTCTTTCTTTTTCCTTTTTCCCTTTTCCTTCCTTTCTTTTCTTTCCTTCCTTTACTTTTTCTTCCTTCCTTTCTTTCTTTTTTCCTTCCTTTCTTTTCTTTCCTTCCTTCCTTCCTTCCTTTTCCTTCCTTCCTTTTCTTTTTCCTTTTTT